CTTTTACCTAATCATTATCTAAAGTACAACCTTTCTTCTTACTCCAAATTTATATTAAATTCTTTAGTAGAATCTTAGATATTTTTAACCTTAATCCTTATCTTTTTCATATTCCCATAAAAACTTTCAGTATTTCCTCTTATTTATTTCCCAAAAACAGAATTCTCAAAAGGTCCACAAATTAATAGAATTCCCACAAATATATCTGACAACTGACAAACCCATTTATCCACAAAAAAAAAACTCAAACGACACCAAAGCATTTTGTTCAAACGCAAAAACCTAATATTGTCGGTCATAAATCTCTAACTGGCAACAGACAAACCAGAAAAAGAGCGGAAAAATATAAATACAACAGAGTAAATGCCACAAAATGTCAACAAATGCCCCAAATACTTGGGGCACGTGCATGTGAGAGTGTGTGAGTGTGACCGAAACACGTCACTTGCCACAGCTACGAAAAAAATTAGGTAAAAAAAAAAATTAACTAAAAGAAGCTAAAAACTAAATTCCATGACACTATCTTTGTGGCATCTATGAACGCTATCAATTGAAAGCGAAATTCACTTTCATCGCCCTCTCGACATAATCATTGCTGTGTACAGTGGGGGTAATAATAATAGATCTTGGGTAATAAAAATAAGGGTAAATAGGAATAATAAAAAGAAATAAATATATTAAAAATAATATATGAATAAATAATATTTAGAGATAGGTTAAAATTTAAAAAAAAATATTTGTTGTATTTTTAGATTTTTAGATATTCTTTTTAAAGTATTTTATTTAATTGGTAAAGACCATTTTGTATGGTAAAGGTGGTGAGATTTGAACTCTAACTATTAATTTAAATAAAACAATTATTTATCTAAAATTTTTCTACTAAAATATTAAGATCCCAAGGCTTTAACATTTTTTTTTTAATTTTTCATTTGCTTATATTAATTTTAATTGCTAATATTCTGACCTCAATTGTGAAACCCCCCTTTCACCCAAGCAACCGAAATATTCGTCCCGTACATTTGGCCAAGTTCAACGACCGCACGAGTCCCTGGCCTAGATTTTACAACAGCAACAACGGCAGAGCAACAGACGCTGCTGATATTGCCGTTCGTGCTTTTACTTTCGTTGCGACTTCGGCTTTTGGCGCTGCCTTCGGCTTCGGTTTGATTGGTGCTTAGATTCGGGCACCCGCTCTCTTGCACACGAAGTTCATGCCACCGAGCTTCAAGATAATAATGCCCAAGATAAAATATAGTTTATAAAGAAAATAAGAATAAATAAATTTAAAAAAATATATGTTCAGGGAAAAGAAAACCAAATTAAGTAACATTAACATATATAATATTAATATAAATAAATACAAAATTCGTTTATGATTTTAATTTCATTTTTTGATCAAAGACTTTATAGGAAGAATTATATTTAAATTATAATATTTTCTTGTAAATAAAAATTTTGAAGGATTTTATTACTATTAAAAGAATTTTGTTTGGTAAAGTTTTTAAATGGTTTTATATTAAAAAATATTTGGTAATAAAAAAATAAGCATTTCAATAAAAAATGTATTATTTAATAAGTAAATAAAATAAAATAACTTAGGTACTTTATAATTTATCGGAAACTATTATTTAATGTAGTGGGCAGTAAAATGATTAATGAAATTTTATAATAATGAAGCTAAACAAATATTATTCCGGTAAACCGAAAACAAATATTAATAATGAAATATAAATGAATAAAATATAAATAAAAACCACTTTTTTTTAGTTGAATATTTTTTTGCATAAGGTTATAATTAAAAAATATTTGAATCAATCAATCAGATTAAAGTTTACCCAAAATAAGCCTCGCTTAAACATAAATGCTGCACTCCTTACTCCTCCTTTGATTGCCAAAAACATAAATATGTAATTCAATTATGCGGCAAATATTAATCATAATTTGCACTTCCATAAAATATTCACTACCCCAGGAACAGACACAGTCACATTCACATCCACAGGATATGTCCCTTCAATACGCCAATAAAATTCTTATTGCCGAGAAATCCCTCCTCGGAGATAACACAAAAACCACACAGAGCAAGCAAATACAAATACAAAAAAAAAAACTTATTGCTATCGTCGTCATGACGTGCCTTCCGCCGCCCCCCAATTTCTTCGCTTTTCCTTCCCCGCCATCGTCGCTCCTCTATCTGCGGCTTGTTGCGTTTGCTTCTTGTTTTTGCACAAAAAGGAAAAATTTAGGTTAATGAGTTCAACGACCGACGAGGAAGCGCCAAAAATACACACGCAGTACATGGAGCCAATAGAAGAGATAGAAAGAAAGTGAAATCATATTTGAGGAGACGGGGGAAATTTTTACGGCGCTTAGTGGAATTTAGGGAAAAGCACACGAGCGTGTGTGGGTGGGGATAGGGCAAGTGCAGAATTTTGGGATATTCAATAGAATTGCAAAGTAAAAAATTAGAATTAGAAATTTGGAATTAGAAATATTTAGGGATCAACACATTTTTTTTAGTAATTAAATATTATTTTTCTGAAGACTCTTGTATTAGTTAATTAGTTATTCTAATATATTTAATAACAAATTGTAGGGAATACTTATTCAAAGTAAATCATAGCATACTTTTGGGAATTAATAAAAAATCGTATGAATACTTTTTGTTTCTGGTAAAAGGCATAATTTAAAATATTTAAAAATTATTAATATTATTTTTTTTTCCATTTATTAAATAAACTAATGATGTAATTACCAAACCCAACCGAAAATCAGGATCATTAGTTATTCCCATTTCCCCTTAACAAAGATTAATACTTGTGAAGGTGTTTCTCTATATCTAAAACCACTTTATATATGTATGTACATATATATAAACATGATTCACTCACTCACCAGCTAAGACACGTCCAATCAGACGTTCCGTATCGTCTATATGTTTTGCCTGGGCAAACAGATCCTCCCGACTGCCGACTGTCATTATTCTGGATTGAAGCTAGGACGTGGACTTGAATATAACCTAATGCAACTATATAGTTTGATTGGAATTCGTTTTGATTGAACTATAGATTTGCTAAGATTTGTACAAAGTGTTTGTTCTATATATTTTTCTTAATATTATTTACTTAAGGCTTTTCTTTCGTATGGCACCTTTTGTGAGTGTTTAGAATTTATTTTTGAGCTAACTACACTAGCTATTATGGCCTAAGTTCTTTAGTTAGTTAATTAATTTGTTTGAATTTAACTATTTAAATATTTGTGTGCACACGGGAAATATCACAAGATAGCAGCAGCAGCAGCGATGATGTTTGAGGATTTTTTACGTGTTTTATTTTTGGCCAAGTCTTTATGCATTTTCATCTAATAAATGCCACAATTTGTTTACTCATTTTTAACTATTTAACATTTAGAAAAGACTTTGCACTCTCATTAATTTCTATGACACTTTCAGGAATACTCAAAAAATATATAAATATATTCTTTTGATTTGTGTTTTATTTTGTGTGTTTGGCTTTTTTCAGAATTCACGTGAAAATTACGACAATCGGTTTTGGGTTTTTTGAGCGCCGGGCAAACAGTGTTCAGAGTTCGTTCGGTATTCGCGCAGCGAGCGAAGAACGCTGAATAATAAGCAAAACAACAAAAGCGGGGCGCCAAAGCCGAAATGCCAGAAGCTGAGCCAAAAACAACAAAAAATCGCATGGCAAAAGTTTCTATCAGCTGTTCGCCTTTGCCTTATGGTTGTTCTTGTTTTTGCTTTTGTCTTTGTTTTTGTTTTTGCTGTTTTTTTGGGGCCGGCCATGTGGGTAGCCAATGAACTGCTTGCCGGAAGCTTTGCACTGCTTGCAAGTGGTTTTGGCAAGTAGAGCTTTGCCAGAGCGCTGGGATTTGAAATTAATAAGGGAATTTTTGTGTTTTATTTATAATTAAATTTTCTCTTAAAAGTATTAATGTTAAAAGAAATTTACAAATTTAAGCGTAAGCTCTAGACTACTTTTCTGAGTAATTTAAATTTTTTAGAAGTCCAAAAAGTCTAAAAACTACATTAACAAATGTAAATGTTACTTCTTTTATATCCTTTTGATTTTAGTTCTAAGCCTGTTTTGACTTCCTAAAATATAATTTCAAGGAAAATTAATAAGTAAAATATTTCTAGATTTAAATTTTTCTTAGAATTTCTCTAAATTAATGTAAAAAATACCCTGAAAATAAAGTTTTATATTTAACACACATTACATTACACATCATTTTAGTATTTAAATTAAATTTTTAGATTCAAAAATAATCATTTCAGCTAAGGAAAATCTAGAAGAACTATGAATAATTTTTAAGTATTTTTTTAACTTGTAATAAGCCAGAAGAAATTATTTTTGTTCCTTTAAACTAATTACAAAGTACAAAGTACTTCGTTGTAAACAATTTTTCCTTTCTCTCAGAACTCGTTGCCAAGTTGAACCGCTCATTGTTGGCCCAGACAAAAGTGATTGGCTTCAGGTTAAAGCCCAATCATTCTAACAAATGGGAAACTATCAGATTGTGGCCGCCAAAAACAAAACCAACGAGGGAATTAAGGAGCTCAGCAAACAGAAAAAAATGTTGTTAGCCGAATTCCAATAGCCACTCTGCTTGGCAACAGAAGCTCCAAAAGCGATGTCCTGCTAGCTGAGAGCCCAATAGCTGAAAGCAATAAAAGCAACAAAGGCAACAAAAACATTAAGGCCCAAAAGCAGAGCGGGCCAAAGTTAAATGAACTGTGAAAATGCCAATGACAGAAGAATTATTCAAGGCCGCAGTGACGAAAAGCAAGACGAGGAATAAAACGAGGCTTAAGAAAGGCTTCGGGGATAGTTAAGAAGCCTATAGCTTTTAAGGAAATTTTAGAAAATTATTTTAAAAGGAGCTGGAAGGAACTTAAAAGAAAAATTAATGAAAACCAGAAGTCAATAAAGTAGAGCTCTGATTTTATCTAATACTAGCAACTATGATTTAATAGTCACAGTTACAGAATATTATACAACAGAAAACTATAAAAAAAGCAAAACTATATAATCCCTTCCATTCGAAGAACCCCTTGACTTGGTGTTCTGTTAGGTAAGTCAACGTCTGTGGCGCCAGAATCCTTGAGCTACATTGGGTTTGTCCTGGCTGGTAGCAACAACAACTAAGCACCCTCTCTCTATAACCCAAAGAGCCCCAATGTCGCACTGTGGCAAAATGTCAGCGAACGCATTTGAACTTTTCATTGCTGTTGCAGCAGCAGCAGCAGCCAAACTTCCCACGTAAAATTAGCAACTGGAGGGGGGAATGGGCATCTCCGCCCACTGAGAGGCCGGCCGTGCCTCTGGGTCTGCCCTCGATTCGGATTCGGATACAGATTTGGACTTGGATTCGGCTGCCATGTTGCACAATCCCGGCCAGCAGCAGCAGCAGCAGTCGCAGCACGGTGTCGTTGCACGAGTTCAGGGTCAGTTGGCGTTGCACTCAGCGCCCAGCAGCTAAAAACTGGGTGTGGGTTGAAACACTTGGGTGGATGCACTTGCAGAAATATTGGGGGGTTACTTTGTCATGTAAATTACAGATAATTTGATAAAGGATTCAATATCTTAAGGATAACTTACTAGTTTCTATCGTCGTTTCTCAGCTATTAAATTCACTAAATATTTCATAAACTATATTCATCCTGTTTTTCTGTAATTTACAACATTTATCTATAATTTAGGTATCATTACTTCTCTATTTTAATTTATAAAAAAATTTTAAATGTGTGCTGGATTATTTTCTCTGTATTTTTCCTCGCATTGCTTGGGTTTGCTGCTGCTGCCACCAGTGCTCCATTAAACGTGTTAGGCGCCAAACGGTGTGAAAATAAAAAGCACTTAACCCACCAGCAATTCGCCGCTGATTCGATTAGGCAAACACACACCGCTGAGAGCTGGAAACTACACAAAGCCAGGCAAGGGGAATGGGCCAAGTTAAGAGAGACACTTTATTTGGTTAGAAGAAACAAGGTTACTGATTCTGCGAGATGACCAGTGGTTGTTATGAAAAAGGAAAGTGAGTTAATTAAGAGTATTTATTACATTGTTTTTATATCCCTTTAAAATTCTATTAAATCCTAATTATTAAGAAATATATACAAATTCATTAAGACATTACAATTAGTTAACCCAGTTTTCTTTTGAATTTCTGTATATATCATTTTTGAATAATAAACATTTATATACACTCAAAAATCGCTTGATCCGCTGACGTGGTATCCTCACACTCTTACCAAACTTCCACAAACATATACATATACATTTATAGTGGGTATAACCTTCAATGTCTATTCAACTCTCGTGGAAATTCGTCCAAGGACATGAACTTAGCTCACCCCTGACGCGATTCGGCTCCATGTAAATGGAACAGAAGGCGCCGCTAAATGTAGACCACCGCCCCCTTTAGGCAACCTTGCAATCTCTTAAAATTATCAAATAAAAATAAACGAGAGAGAAAAACTCAGACAAACACATTTTGAAATTTTAATTAAAACCAAAAATAAAAGCAATCGAATTGGAATTCCTTTTCGGCTAATGGCCACCTAACGGCATTTATGTACGTATATACATAGTAAGCATATAGTTGGGCACTTGTATTGTGGCCTGCGTATGTGTGCCGTGTCATTGTCCTGGATAGAGTGCAACGACTTTGGCCCTTCAAAATGGAACGTCACGAAAAGTGCGTGAAAAGCTAAAAGGAAAAGCTACTGAGCTGGGCTTTTAAGAGCAAAAAGCTTAAAGATTTTCTGCTGTTGAGAAAAGCTATGCAGATATGCCACAGAAATTGCTAAGCGTTTGAAATCTATTAAAAGGGCGCTAGAAAGTATGCTATAAAATTAGTAGATCTTTAATTTCGTTGTTAAAAAATGGTTTTATAGGCCAACTTTGGGTTTAATTTGAATTAATATGAAATTAATTTTCTTTGGAATATATAACAATGATTAAAAATATTTCTTAATGATTATTTTTTAAGTGAAGTTTGTGTTTTATGTTCTATGTTTTACTTGGTAGCAATTTATTATTATTTTATTGAGTTCTTTCATGCTTATCTTTAATAGATTTTAATAACAATCTGCCTAAGACTTGTAACAAATATAATAATATCCTATCAATTCACATCCATAAATTCTTATTAACTGCCCACAAATTATTCAGGTAAATAAATAATAAATATAATGCCTTTGTTCCAGGGACTAAACCAATTTATTGGGATATATTTTTCTAACAAAAATTGTGTGATAGAAAGCGCATAAATATATTTTGTATTCCCCAATCAGCAGACAACAATAGAAGAGGCAATAAAAAAATAATTCACACAAAAAAGGGAGGGCCCCCCAGAGGGGGCTGGTGGCAGCTGGGAGAGAGAGTAAGAGAGAGTGAGTGAGAGTGCGTGAATGCTCGACACACACACTTACAGGCACAGCCACTCGCACACAGATACACACTGGGACAGCACTTGGCCCAGATTATTTTGAAGGTCGCGCATTATCGACGGTCGTTCACCTATTTACTCGGCAGGCAACAACAAAGGCAACACACAGCAGCGGCAGCGACGTCGACTGCGGGTGGGCTCTGCCTTTCGTTTTTTTTTTTTTTTGGGCTTTTGCTTTCATTCTCCTCTCTTTCTTTTCAGTCTGTTTTGTTCATATATTCTATACATGTACGCAGTTATGTGAAGATGTATGTAAATTCATGAATATTCCTGTACATACAGTAAATCTAGGATTTCTAGGACTGTTTTTTTGGGAATTATTTGAAAGAGTTTTAAGGGTTCAATTTGATTTAAAAATTTATTAAAAATACAAAAAAAGATATATTATTCATAAAAATATGTTTTCAATAATATTACAAATTATAAAATACTCAATTTTTTAATATTTTTTAAAACACTCTTTTGGTTTGTTCTTAAACATTAAAATATTTACTTATCTGAAAACATTTTTGATTTAATTTCGAGTCTCTACTGTACCCAATTCGTATTGCTTTTTATATAATATATAAACACCCATATATAGGTGCATACATATGTTTGTAGTCACTGTCTTTGACATTAGGTGTATATTTAATCAGCAGTTTTCACGGCTGTTGTTGCTTTTATTGCGGTAGGAGCGCGCGTGCGACATTTGTTGCTGTGTTTTTATTGGGGGAAAAGCTCACGGAAAAGGAAGCGAGAAAATTATACGGAAAAGCTTTCGCAGGAAGTATTGAGGCAGTCCGCCAAATACACCAAGACTTTTCGCCATTATATTTTTGTGAGCTCCTCTCGGTCGTGTTAATGCGCATTAGGTGAGCCAGCGAAATATAAACAAACGCTTTACAAATACTAATATACTTAAGAGGTTAATAAACACGCATGGCGGGGGCGGGGGGCAGCATATATTTGTTGGCTTTCAATAAGCTAAAACATATGTGGAACATTCAATTTTTGAGTGTAACGGGCCAAGGTGGTGGGAAATTGCGAGGGGGTGGCTCTGAGAGATGACAGTGAGGGAGGTTATGTATCTTCTTTCATTTGGCAAAGTAGGCCGACGACGAAAGCTTGTATACAGTTAGGTCATTAGGTCACGAGTGAGTGAGAGACAGGGAGAGATGGGGGGGGAGGGTCTCTGGGGAAAGAGAGAGGGGTGAAAGCAGACTGTAATATAATCGGGAAGCATCGTATTTAAGCCAGAGAAAGGTAAAGTGTGGTTAAAAAATAGAAAAAATGAAAAAACTTATAATATTTAAGAAATAATTAATAAACAATTACCAGAATATATTTTATTGCTTTCTTTTTCTGTTTGAATTAACAAAGTGTGAATTTTGACGAATTTTATATATACTATTGGCTTAAATTAATTTGTTTTAAATCAAAATTGATTCTTGTTGCAATAGTCTTTTTAAAAATACAGGAAACCAAGAAATATCCATTCCCTTGAATTTATTAAGAACAAAATTATGACTTAATTCCACTAAAATCGGTACTCAAAACGACATATCTCTCTTTTAAGGCCTAAAAGTAAATCGCAAATAGGCACAAAAAAAATCCCGAAAAAAATATACATACATGAGTATTCCCGCAGGACCTACGCATTCATTTCAGGATACTTTGTGCCTAGCTGACTTTAAGCATCCCTCAGCATTAATCAATAATTTGCTTTGTTCCCCTCCTCTCTTCTCCTCTTAGATCTTGTATTTATATAGAACAAACTTTTACATTTCTCAAAAGCCAAAATAAAAAAAACCAACCAAATTTTTTATATTAATTCACTAGAGAAAGATAAGTGCTTTTGCATTTGAGAGAGAAAAAAAAAGAAACTTTCGTGGAAATTCTGAGTGGGCCAATGGGGCGTATGAGTTATTTTTAGCGCAAGCCAAGAGAGAGATGGCCTAGCACAACAGGCTCAAACTTGAGGCTGCAAGAGATTCAAACACAGCTGAGTGGGGAGTTCTTGGGGGATGTAGCCACATTGGGGATGTTTTTGGTGCGGTGGGGGTGAAGCTGCGTTGACAGGTCCTCCCCCACAGCTTGCAAAGCAGCTTATGTGTGGGGTTTCGACTTTGCCCAAGGGGGTTTGACACATTGACCATGAATTTGCTTTTAGGAACAGAACAAGTTGAGGAGAAAGGAGAAAGGAGAGGCGAGGAAATGAATACACTGAAAGATTAATGCTACAAATAAATAGGGTAAAGTATGAATGAATTTACCTGAAAAAATTTGTATTACAGCTTAAAGCTTATTACAAAATTTTAAATTCTACAAAATAAAATTTATATAATATTTCTACAATTTATTTTAAATAAGTTACTTTTGAAACCAATTAAATAAATTATTTTTAAGTCTTTCGATTGATTTTTTGTTTTAATAAATGATTTTTAAGTATCTGGAATGATTTCTTCGTTAAAATATTTAACTTTAAGGTTCAGACCTTTTATAAAAATATAACTAAACAATGTTAATAAATGTATATTATATTACAAAATTATAAAATAAATAGAAAATGGTATTTTTAAAGCACCCCATTATTTTCAGTGCCTCTGTAGATGCTCCAAGTTTGCAGGTGTGCTAACGGAAAATTTGTATATCCTGTCAGCTTTTGGCCATGCCTTCCGCTTATCAGCACGAGTGGCGGCTTAAAATCATTTATCATAATTTCGAAACAAAAAGCTAAACAGCTTTTGGTCTTGTCAATGCGAACAGCAAATTCAATTAAACCATGAAAACAGAGCCCCTAATAATGCGACAGAAAAGGAAAGACTAAGCAGGCGAAAGAGAGATTGAGAGCCAGAGCCCAGCTCAAGCACAATTTCCACGAATTGCTCCATTAATAACACTAGAATTAACCGAAAGGTTACTAAAAGTCAAGGCCACCGAACGAAATTCGACACATGCCCCGTGGTTCGGGCCAGAAAGCGATAGAAAAAAGGCAAAAGAAAAGCAAAGAAAGAGAGTAGGCCACAAGTGCGATAGAGACGGCCAGCTGGCACATTGACAAAGTGCTAATGCGTGTGAGAGTTATGTGCCAAATTTATAGGCTCTTGGCTCTCTCACTCTGTATTGGCGTTGGCGGCAATCAACTTGGCTAACACACCCCA